GGCTGGGCCCCGCGCCCCCCCCAGCCATTGTTGGCAGGCTTGCAGTAGCAAGTCCAAGAACTGCACCAGAATGCCCAGGGTGAGCTCTGGCTCCATGTTGCCAACTGCGGCGGCGTCCCCAAAGGGAACCACCGACACAGACAGGTGCAGAGAAAAACGCTTTGCTGTCCCTCGACGAGGTAGGCAAGCAAGCGGAAAAGCTGAGAACCGGCTGTCCAGGGGAATCCCTTTAAGCTCGAGCCTCAGATAGCCTCAGACAGCAGCCACACAAAGCAACTACTGATCTGATGCCTTGCCGGAACCGGTTTCAGCTGCCCTTAAATGCGCCCCAGCGTCCAATCGGTGTGGACGCGCTAGTTCGAATTAGCAAAACACTAATTCGAACAAGTTTTTAAGTCTAGATGCGCTAATTCGAATTAGCTTAGTTCGAATTAACTAATTCGAACTAAGTTAGTTCAAATTAGCACTGTAGTGTAGACATATCCTCCCAGACTTCCTGCTGTGTAGACAGTGCCAAAAGCTGAAATAAGCTATTTCAACTTAAGCTACACAATTGACATAGGTCAAGTTGCATAGCTTATTTGGGCTGTAACCCTGCTGTGTAGATGTGCCCTTCCAGTCCTAAGTATGGTGGACACTCCATCACATGAGGCTGGGGTTGAAAAAGATATTTTTGCAAAAACATTTGCAAAATTTAACGTATTTTGTTTAATTTACAATCAAAATTCAGAAAATTTCCACCAGGGTTTGCTCTTAAATATTTTTGCAGATAACAGGAGGTGATCTGAATACATGAAAATAACAAAAACATAACAAATCAACTATCTTCTGAATAATAGAAAATCAGACTTTGCGATTTAATTTTTGTAAAACATTTATAAAAGATATTCAGCCAGCCATGTGTAGTGGGATTAAGGAAACCTGCAAGGAAGATTTTTCTTTTTGTTTTTTTGGTGTATGTGTGTGTTCAATTCTCAACTTTTTTTAGAATTACAGTAAATAATTTTGGTTATTAGAACCCCACAACCGGAGGGTATGTCTACACTACAGCGCTAATTCGAACTAACTTAGTTCGAATTAATTAATTCAAACTAAGCTAATTCGAACTAGCGCATCGAGACCTAAAAACTAGTTCGAATTAGCGTTTTGCTAATTCGAACTAGCACCTCCACACTGATTAGACGCAGGGGAGGGGGAAACCTGGGAGGAGGGAGCTGGAAGGGGGTGGAAGGGGAGGAAGGGAAGGGAAAGCTCAGGCTTGGAGGTCTGGCTGGCTCTCCCGTCTCGCAACACTGTGGGTGCGGGAACCTCGGGGGGGGAGCGGGTGTGAAGGGTGGGGCAGGAGGGACGGGGGGGTGCGGAGGAAGCGGGAGAGGAAGCAGGGGCAGTAGGGATGGGAGGAGGAGCGAGAGCTCCGGCAGCTGCAGGAGCTGGAGCAGGAGGAGGCAGGAACCGGTCCACCAGGGTCTGGAGGTGGCCTCTGAGGCCACGGCCCTGCTCCTCCAGCGCATCCACACTCCGCTGGCACAGCCGAAGGGCCTTCC